ACAGAGGGCTAAGTACACTCTGTCGAGTCCTGCGATACCTCAACTCCAGTAGCGAGAGGGGCGAACCGCGACGGAGATGTCGGGAAGCCCACTACTGAGGAGGGCGCAGGTGTACACTGCACCGTGGCTAGGAGGCGCCGCGGGGACGTGAGGCGCCAGGGGGGGACTGAGCACGACGCTGACGAGAAAGTTCAGCGTAGTGGTGGTCGAGGGCGGTAGTGTAAGGGCACCGCGAGGAGGTATGACCGTCCAAGCGGCAACGCAAACACCCACGCCGGCCCAAAATAGCCACGCGCTCCTCAGGGGAAAGGACACCACGAGGAGGGACGAAGCCCTGAGGGAGGTCCTCCTGAGGGACCTCGGGGGGCGATGCGCCAGCGTGACCGGGGCGGCTGCGTGCCCGAGAGAGGGCAGAGAGCGTGAGTTGAAGACGCTCAGCTGCAGGGAGGGTAGAGTCCTCCAAGTGATAGTGGACGGCCTCGCAGAGATCGATGTCGTCGCTGTGGTCGCCCTTAGATGACAGTGGGGCAACAGCGTCCTGCTCACCATACTCCAGCGCGCTGAAGCGGCGCGAGAAGTGGCGGCCCTGCTGCGTGGAGCGGCGGGGGCGACCACGGAAAGGGGAACGGCGCTGGGAAGTGCCGTGAGAGGAGGAGGAGGCGTAGCCCGTGCGCTGGGGCTAGGAGGAGGAGGCGGGGTGAAGACGGGCTCGCATCCGCTGGTGGTCCCTGGCGGCCTCGTAAGCATGTGGGGCCGATGTGAACTCGTATCGCCATAGCTCGGAGCGGTACGCGAGCGGAAGGCTGGCCAAGAAACGATCGATAAGGGCAGCCTCGGGGAAGAACGCCACGTCACAAACAAGGCGGGCGTCCTGAAAGACCTGGATGTGGCGATCCAGGCTGACAACGCCACCAGGGCCGGACCAGCGTGTAGTGATGACACGCTCGAAGGCGTCAGTCATGTCGTATCGGGCTCCAAAGTGATCCTCGAGGAACGCCTGGAAATCCACGAAGGTCRGAGTCCGACCCTCACGAAGGGAGTAGGCATAAAAATCCTCCCAGGCCTCGAAAGGACCGCCGCGCAGGCGCGTGGAGAGGTGACCCACCCACGTCTCGGGTGTGGCGCCCATGAGCTGGAGTGTGCGGGTGGCAGACTGCAGCCACCGAGACACGCGTATGCCTGTACCGTCATACAAGGCAATGTCCGACAAGCGGATGAGTGGCGCGCCACCGTTTTGGCGGCGAGGGGATCGAGGAGCGGAGGCCTGTGCCACGACTGCGTAAGTCGGCGCAGGTCCTGGAGAAAGGGGCGCAGTTGACTGTGCGCCCGGGCCGCATGGGGGAGCGGTGGTGGCAACAGCGACAGGCTGCGAGGGTGCTGCAGTAGAAGAGGTCGCAGCAACCGCGGGAATAGGAAGAAGGTAGGAAGGAGTTGTATAGGGTGCAGGGCGCGGAAAACGAGCCTGCATGGGAGGAAGGGTAGAGAAGGTAGGGGGTGCGCCCAAAGGCGCGGCCACCTGTGAAGGTGGGGGTGGCTGAAGGCGTAAGAGGGCGAGGTTGGCCCGGAGCTGGGCAATCTCGTCCTCGAGACCTCGAACCTAGGTCGTGCGAGGGGTAGCAGGGGGAAGAGTGGAGGAAGTGGATGCACAAGCGGCGCGGGGCATCCGTGAGGGGGGAGAGCCAGGTGGCGCTGCGGTCGTGCGAAGGGGGGGGAGGAGCGGGGCACTCGGAAACGCTGAGACCATGGTAACGGGTTGTGGTCCCGTGGCCGTCGTAACCGGAATCTGGGCCGGTGCGCCCGTAGACTGAGGAAGGGCCTGACTCGTGGCGGCCGTCGAGCTAGGGGCGTGGATGGTCACCAAAATGGCCGGGTCGGGGGCGGCAGAGGAGGAAACTCCGCCGTGGCCACCCTGTCAGAGAACTGGGGACCCGGACTAAGAGCCAGGAGAAGAGAGAGGAGGAGGAGAGGAAGGATGACCAGCGTCCTGGAGTTGCTGCACGCCGACGGCAAGGGTCGCCACCTGCGCCTGTAAGGGTCCGAGGGTCGCGAGTTGCGCCTAGATGGGTGCGAGGAGGGAGGTGAGGAGGGTGTGTTGATCCCCCTGGGGCTGATGGCCCTGGTCCGCCGGCACGGGTGTGGAGCCCGATGCAGTGGTCATCGCCGTGTCGACGCCGTGTGACGCACCGTCGGCCATGGGGAGATGACGGACCGGACTGGAGGGGGCCAGAAGAGGTCCGCGTGAGCGGAGGGCATAGGGGGAAGTCCGCGGTAGAAAGTGGTGAACGGCGCTAGCAAGGCTAGCACGGGCGCCGTCAAAGGGGGAGGGGTGGTTCGGGTCCAGGGTGCCCGAAGAGGACGGGGAAGTAGGGGGGTCTTGAGGAACCCTTGACCCTACACAAACCCCTAAGAAAACCCTAACCGAGGTTTAAGGCTAGGGTAGGATACCGGTGACCTAATCAAGAAAGTAAAATAGCAAGCATTGGGGGG